CCCCGCCGCCGCCGCCGCTGCCGCCGCCGCCGCTGCCGCTGCTGCCGCCGCCGCCGCCGCCCTGGAAGGCTCGGCTCTCTGATTCCCCAGCTCCCATTTTGCTCCCGGGCCACCTCGCGATCTCCAGCGCCTGAGCCCCGCCACCAACATGCCCCCCGTCAGCTCGAACCCCGACAAGGCCCCGCTGCTGCCGACCCATAACAATGACTCGGCCACCTCGATGTCGCCGGGGCTGAACGACTCCAATGTCTACCCCCACAGCTATGCGGCCTACTCCACCGACAGCCATGCGGCCGTCTCGCCGGAGGAGCCGGCCTCCCCCTCGGCCACGGCCGCCTCGGCCCCGGGCAACCCATACAAGAAGTACATGCTGCTGGTGTCCTTCGGCCTGGTGGTTCTGGTGGGTGTCTCCTTTAGTGCGTGCGGTCTTTCCTTCACACATCCCCGATCCCGCCTCTCCTCCACCTCCTTCCACTCACCCCCCTCCGCTGCTGCTGCTCTCTCCCCCCCTCTCTCTCTCCCTGTGTTTGTTTCACACCCCCTCCGCCCCCCCCTTGCAGTCGGCTATGCGTTCCTGCCCCGGTCCGGCTACCCGGACAGCTCGCTCAGCGTGTCCGAGGCAGCCGTCGCCACCGAGCACCCAACCTGCTCGCATACCGCCCGCCGCGTGCTGGAGGAAGGCGGCTCCGTCGTGGATGCCGCCATTGCGGCCTCTTTCTGCATCGGTGTGGTGCACAACTTTGGTATGTTCCCTTGTCCTGTCTTGTGCGGGCAGCGTCTTCGCCAACTTCCTTCTCCCCCTCCCCCTCCCCCTCCACTGACAGCCACTCTGCCGGGCTCCCCTCGCCACGTCCATACTGCCCCAGCCTCCGGCATTGGTGGCGGCGGGTTCATGCTCGTCCACGATGTGGAGCACTCGTCCATCGGGCCCGACGACACCCCCCTGCCCTATTCCTCGCATCTGTATGACTTCCGTGAGATGGCCCCGGCCCTGGCCCATCGGGACATGTACGTCGGCGACATGGACAAGGCCAAGTATGGCGGCCTGGCGGTGGCTGTTCCTGGCGAGGTGCGCGGCATGCACCTGGCCTGGACCAAGCACGGCCGCCTCCCCTGGGCTCGACTGGTGTACCCCTCTTTCGAGCTTGCCTTCCATGGATTCGAGGTGAACGACCTCCTGGCTCGGCGCCTGCTGCAGGTGGAGCAGCTTGTTCTGACCGACCCCCTGTGGGCGGAGAGCTATCTGGTTGACGGGCGCCTGGCTCGGACTGGTGACACCATCCGCCGCCGGCTGCTGGCCGACACCCTGAACGCCATCCTCGTCGATCCGGAGGCCTTCTACACCGGCCCCATTGCCGAGTCCACGATCGAGGCCATTCGCTCCACCGGTGGCATTCTCACCTCCGAGGACCTGGTTGGCTATGCCCCGCTCATTCGCATGCCCATCTCCCTGGACATCAACAAGAAGCGCTTCATCACCTCGGGCTCGCCGACCTCCGGCCCTGCCCTGCTGCACATGCTCAACATCCTCGCCGGCTACACCCAGTTCCCGGCTCACAAGACCTACGATCCTGTTCTGGAGCATCGGTGCGTCGTCGGGCCTCCCCAGCTGTTGTGAGGGGCTTGCTCGCTGGTTTCCTTTCCCCTGTTTCACCCTTGTCCCGCGGCCTCTCTCTCTCTCTCTCCTCCCCTCCTCTCTCTCTCTCTCTCCCCGTCCACCCACACGTACTCACGCCTTCCTCCGGTGCCTCCTTCCCCCGGGCCATGGCTGACTTGCTGGCCGCGCCAGGCTCGTGGAGGCCATGAAGTTCGGCTTTGCCGAGCGCACCTACCTCGGCGACCCGAGCTACCTGAATAAGCACGACGGGTCGGATCCCCGCCTGCCCCCCTACGACCCGGAGCTGGACCAGGACCTGGTCACGGCCCGGCTGATTGACCCGGCCTATGCCAAGGAAACTCGCGAGAAGATCGACGATGGCAAGACCTTCCCCCCGGATTACTATGGCGGGAACTACGGCGTGTCCGAGGCCCCTGGCACCACGCACATTACCGTGGTCGATCGCAGCGGCAATGCGGCCTCCATCACCAGCACGGTACGTCGCCTGTTTGCCTTGCCTGACCAGGCCCCCTTGCCCGCAGAATGCGTCCCTGACGTGCTGCCACACACACACACACACACACACACACACATCCAAAGGTCAACATTGCCTGGGGCTCGCGGATCATCACCCCCAGTGGCATCCTGCTCAACAACCAGATGGACGATTTCAGCACGCCGAACACCACGAACCACTACGGCCTTCGTGACTCGCCGGCCAACTACATTGCCCCTGGCAAGCGCCCCCTGTCTAGCTCCGTGCCGTTGGTGGTGCTGGACCGCCTGGAGGACAACCGCTTCGAAACTCGCTTTGTTTTGGGGGGCTCTGGCGGCTCGCGCATTCTCTCCGGAGCGTTGAACGTGCGTCCGCCAGACATGGCCATGCCTCGTTTCCCTCTTGCCATGCAGCGCCCACCTCGCTCACACACGCACACACGCACACACGCACACGCACACGCAACCACAGGTTGTCCTCAATCACATCGTTCGCGGCCTCAATCTCATGGACGCCATCATGATGCCGCGTCTGCATCACCAGCTCTACCCCAATGAGGTGGAAGCCGAGTACAACTACCCCAAGTCCATCATGAGCCACATGCACAAGTACATGGGCCATGAGTACTGGTACCGGGCCAAGAATGACACTGTGTCCGTCATTCAGGCCATCTCGCGCGTGGTGACCACGCCCCCGGCGACTGGCGCCGCTGGCGCGCGCGAGACCACCACCCCATCGGTCACTCTGACTGCCGTGTCTGACCCTCGCAAGGAGGGCCTCCCCGACGGATACTAAGCGGCAGCCGAGTCTAAATCCCCCCCCCCCCCCCCAGTGGAGGGGTGCCTGCTGAACTGTCGTTGCCCTTCCCTGCTGGCCGGTTGCCTCCCTCCGCCGGCATATGCCCTCCTTTGTACAGTGCGCGGACCCCTTGTGAGCAGCAAGCAAAGCCAGCCACCCCCTTCCTGTGGAATGCCATGACAATGTATCCTTCCATGTGCCCCTTCCGTGTGTCTCCTCCCTTGTTCTTCTCCTCGATGGAAAGAGGAGGGGCCTCATAAGAAAATGCAGACATTTGATGGGTAATATTGGTACAACGGGGAGCAGGGAAAGGACAAAAGGAGAGGGTGCCGAGGGCGCCCGATGGCGGTGGTGGGCGCTTTGAGGGAAGGTCTCTTAGGCACTTTTACTCGGTGACCGGAATGAAGTCCAGGGCCTCGATGGCGATGATGGAGTTGCCGCGGATGACCTGGGCACCGCGGAGGGTGTCAGTGAGAGAGGAGGAGGTGGCGCGATGATCTATGGCGAGTGGGGCGGGGGGGGGGGGGGAAGTTCTCCGTCTGGACGGAATCGTGTCCACAAGCAGAGGGAAGATCACCGGGGGCGTACCACTTGTCCGAGGAACTCGCCAGCGCGACCTCCAGACACATTGACCGGCGAGTCATCGACCGCACCGTCCAGGACGATGTTCATGAACTCGTCATAGCCGCGAACAACACCACGGATGCTGCGGCCGGCGTTCATCTTGACTGAAAGCGGCGGTGTCAGTAAACCGGTTGAGGGGGTCTCAAAAGGGAGGGAGCGTGGCGAAACAGCGCAGAAAAGGGTGCCACATGGTGAGGCCAAAGGCAGGATGCAACAGGGGACATTGCCGACGCACGGATGACACGCTTGTCCATGAAGCTGGTATGGGGAGCGTGGGCAAGGCGGGGGGGGGGGGGGGGGGGGGGGGGGGCGGATCCCCATGATTCCGGGGCAGAGGTGAGTGGTGCGGCAGGAGTCAGAGACAGAGCCGGGCTCTGAGCGTGACGAAGGTATCGCTTGGCGAGGCGAGCAGCAGGATCGAGGGCGATGGCACGCACCGACGGAGCTCGGGCTTGTTTCCAACAGACATGATGTAGCGACCAAAAGAGGGGACGGGGGATGGAGGGGGGGGGGGAGGGGAAAGAAAAGGGGGCTCGATCAGACGGCTGCCCGAAGGAGAAGAGCAACGAGCGAGGAGGGGGAGGAGAAACGGAGGGGGCTGGCGCGGCTTGCAGGACGCTGTCCCGGCTCGGGGCCCGAAAAAAAAAAAGAAAAAGGAAAAAGGCCTTGCTGCCCGGAAAGATGCCCCCGAGGCCTTCCCCCCC